AAGGCTATTGCTATAAGTGCATTGTAAGCCGTCCTGAGTCTTCGGAGGAGGGCGGCATATAAATTGAACTAATAAAATAAATAAATAGCTGGAAATTCCTAGTCCATATGTCTTAAAGTGGCCTACTTTGGAAAACTAGACTCCTCAAATTCAAAGCAGTTCTTGACAGCTTTACCAAAGTGGTTTACCACTGTTTTCTCTCATCTAAGATTTCCTGGTGGTCTCTTTTCCAGTAGTAATCAGGGCCAACCCTTCCCAGCTTGCAACCTCAAACAAGAACTCCCAGCGATGTGAGCCGTACCGGCTGGGAGCTCTGCAAGTCATACTGGCTGGGAGACCTTGTGTGAGGATGCAAGTTATGAAGGGTTGGCTCCTTAGTACTGGAAAAAGAGACCACCAGGAAATATTAAACGAGAGAAAACAGTGATAAACCACTTCTGTAAAGCTGCCAAGAACTGCATGGATTAGAGGAGTCTAAAACAGTGTTTTTTCAAAGTAAGCCATTTTAAAACATATGGTCATCAACTTCCAGAATTTCCCAGCCAGCCGTGCTGTACTGGGGAATTCTGGGAGTTGAAGTCCACGCATCTTAAAGTGGCTAAGTTTTTTTTTTTTAATTGAAAAAGTTTTACAATTACATTTTCTCCCCAATTCCCCCCCCCCACCCTCCCTGGCCTCCCTAACCCTCCCTAACCCCCCTAACCCTCCCCTCCCCCCCAGACTTCCTCAGAATATAATCCAAATCAAAATCCCCTTTTTATAAAACTTGAACCCGTCCACCCCCTGTATATTTTTCACATCTTCACAAAATTCTATTATTCTATCCCTATATAATCTTTCAGTTAAAAGCTATCTGATATTGCCTAGTTTGATATTTATTCTGCACATAATCTACCCACTTTTTCCACTCCCATACATAAGTCTCTTGTGAGCGGTCTTTTAAATATGCTGAAATCTTCGCCATCTCTGCAAAACTGGCCATCTTCAAAGAGAAATCAAGGGAATGGAGATAAGAGAGGAAAGATATAAACTACAAGCATTTGCAGACGATTTGGTGTTTATTGTAGAAGAACCACTAGAGACAATTCCAAAATTGTTAAAAGAGAGAGAGGAATTTGGAGAGGTAGTAGGACTGAAAATAAATAGAGGGAAAAACTAAAGTTATAGTTACACAAAAACAAAAAGAAAATCTGGCAGAAAAAGTGGATTTTGAAATAGTCAAGAAAGTTAAATATTTGGGAATATACTTAACAGCAAGGTGTGCAATGCTAAAAGAAGACAATTATATAAAGCTACTTAAGCAAATAAAATTAGTTTTAGAAAAATGGAAAATCAATGTTAGGAAGGATTGCTACGATAAAAATGAATGTCCTACCAAAACTGCTCTTCCTGTTCCAAACATTAAAAATTGAAAAGAAATTCTTTGATGATCTGAACAAATTGATGCTGAAATTTATTTGGCAAGGGGAAAAAATGAGCATAAAATTGAATATTACCAAGCATGTTCTTTTAACGTGGTTAAAAGAATGGATAACCCTTAGACACAAGAGACTGTTATACTTAGAAGGTCTTTCTCTTTCTGAAATAATCCTTGACATTAAAGTTTACAAATGCAAAAGTAAGGAAACAATACAAAGCAGGAAAAATATAAAAAGAAAAAATGCAGAGACAAAGAAAAACAATAATAAGGAAAATAGAAAAGAGATAGATAAAGAAAGGATAGAGTCAAAATCACCAGAAGTGATAGTGCCGCTGTCTTAAAAATTTCTATAATAACACAATTCAAAAACTAATATCAAAATGGCAAAAGAAACAAAGAATGTATTTTATCCTTTCTACCATCTATGAAGTCAGCCAGCTCTTGTCTGATTAACATTTTTATTAAATGAGCTGCATCAGAAAGTCAGAAAAAGCAAGAAATACATATTTTCTTTTATGGGTTTTTCTCCCTTCACTCCTTTTCCTCTTTAGTCCTTTTTTTTAAAAAAAAACATTTTTCTTAGTTTGCGTTATTTGCTCTCTTTGTATTTTTAAAGTTCAATAAAAATATTACCATTTAAAAATAGGAAAGTCAGAAAAATATTTCTGATGACTAGCAGGAAAAAAAAAACCTGCCTTCGTGGTGGGCTGGGCTGGATGCTTATTTATAAAAATAATGAAGATGGGATATAAATAAAAAGATAAATAAATTAGGCATTCCAGCTTATAAAGATCAGTCCTAAATTTGCAAAGAGCCCAGATTAATTTTTTCTAGAGTTCAAGTCAGAATGCCAGGGTGACGTACTAAGAATCGCCACACGGAGGCAGTGTTTATCCATAAAACTATGGTCATATCCCACAGAACAGATTTCTCATTCTGATAGTCAAGAGCATTTGCTTAGTGTGTCATCAGCAACTATAGCGTTTTAGGGAGAAAACGCCCATCATTCTGAGATCCAGGAAAAAAGGACCCTCCTGGACCCTCCAGGCCCCACCTGGCTCAGCCCCCGGTTGAGTTGCCCAACAGTTTCAGGGATGTGCCATTGACTCACCTCTGGGCTGAATCACCTTGGATTGACATGCCGTGAATGGGTCAGGAAAGTGGCCCACGGGAGGACACAACACCCAACCACACACGTCACACGAGGTAAGTTGGTAAGCAAGGAAGGAACAGAAAGTTGGAGGTTTTCACAGCTAGAGAAGGAACTCTTGGGATGAAGACTCCTCCCTTGGGCAGTGGGGTGGACTAGAAGACCTCTAAGGTCCTCTCAGTCCTACAATTCTGTGACTTTATGAGCTTGGGCAGAGGGGTGGACTAGAAGACCTCCAAGGTCCCTTCCACCAAGCACGGGGTCTGGGCAGCTGACCCCATGGAGTTGAGAATGGGGGGGGTGTTATACCTTTTCTTGGGCTTTATACTTTATACCCAAAAGACACCTTCACGATTTTGGAGAAATAACCAGGAGATGGTGAGTATTTGTAGAACTTTATACAGGAAAAGGGACGTGGTGGCTTCGTGGCTAAAAGGCTGAGCTTGTCGATCGAAAGGTCGGCAGTTCGGCGGTTCGAATCCCTAGCACCGCGTAACAGGGTGAGCTCCCGTGACTTGTCCCAGCTTCTGCCAACTGAGCAGTTCGAAAGCAGGTAAAAAATGCAAGTAGAAAAATAGGGACCACCTTTGGTGGGAAGGTAAGAGTGTTCCGTGTGCCTTTGGCGTTGAGTTGTGCCGGCCACATGACCACGGAGACGTCTTTGGACAGCGCTGGCTCTTCGGCTTTGAAACGGAGATGAGCACCACCCCCTAGAGTCGGGAACAAGTAGCACATATGTGCGAGGGGAACCTTTACCTTTACCTTTATACAGGAAAGACACCTTCACTATTTTGGAGAAATAAGCAGGAGATGGTGCTTTCCAGTATGCATAACAGGCAACTGGAGACTTTGGGCCCATAAGGATCAGTTTGTAACTTGTAGTCCTGCAGGAGGGAAGGTAAATTCTAGTCCTGCAGTCCGAATGACAGGCGTGTTTATGATTTTCAACCGATAAGGACTTGATGGTGATTTCTACTCCTTCAATTCACGTGGTAACCGACTGATTGACTTTGGGCCAATATCCAAGGGACAGGAACTACTATTCCTGCAATAGGTTTTGTGAGTTCTATTCCGGCAATTCGCAGGACAGCTGGCTGAGTGACTTTTTGCCCATCCCCAGGCCACGAGAAGGTGGGTTCTTCCCTGCAATACGCAGGACAGGCAGTTGAGGAGATCATCAGTTGAGTTTTGGCCAATCGCCAGGAGGGGAGGACTTCCATTCTTGCAATATGCATGGTGGGTTCCTCTCCTGCAATATACACAGCAATTGGCTGAGCGACTTTGTGCCAATCAAAAGGAGAAGGTGAGTTCTAGTCTTACAATTCTCACAACAGCCGGCTTAGTGACTTAGGACCAATAGCCAAGAAACAGTGTCTCCTCTTCCTACAACAGGCATGGTGAGTTCTACTCCTGGAATACTCATAAGAGATGGCTGTGTCACCCTGGGCCAATCTCCAGGAGACTGTGAGTTCTAGACCTCCAATAGGCACCAAAGCCTCCCTCCCTCCTTCCCTCTTTCCTTCCTTCCTTCCTCCCTCCCTCCCTCCTTGTTTCTTCCTTCCTTCCTCCCTCCCTGTTTCTTCCTTCTCCCTCCCTGTTTCTTCCTTCCTTCCTCCCTCCCTCCCTCCCTGTTCCTTCCTTCCTTCCTTCCTTCCTCCCTTCTTGTTTCTTCCTTCCTTCCTTCCTCCCTCCCTGTTTCTTCCTTCCTTCCTTCCTCCCTCCCTCCCTCCTTGTTTCTTCCTCTCTCTCCTTTCTTCCTCCCCTTGAAGAAGGCCATCTCAATGACCTTAGGCCAACCATTCTTTCTCAGCCCTAGAAAGGAGGCAATGACAAACCACTTCCAGAAACCTTGCCTGGACATATTCAGACAGACTTCAAGAATTGGACCCGACTGAAGGAAAAAAGAGCAATGGATGATGAAGATGGAAGGGACCCTCCTCAGTGCATCACGTCCTGGATGAGACCAGGGTGAGGCTGGGCAGAGACCCCCTTGGCCCCCAAGCAGACCAACGACCCCCATTGCACAATCCGAAGTCAGCGACTGAAGCCCTTTCACCGGGCGATTGTTGAATGAGCCACAACCACTTGATGCTGCCCCATATCAACTGACGAGTATAAATTCCCCACAACCCATGAATAGGAACCGTACTAATCCGGGCATTCTGGCTGGGAATTCTGGGATTGGAAGTCCCCACATCTCAAAGTCACCAAGTTGGAGATTTGAGACTCCAGGTGTCTCTGGGGAGGTGAGTTTCCCCAACAGAATAAGCAAAATAAAAAAGGAAGAAACAGTCCATGGGCATCCAGGAGACCCACTGAACATACGGCAACTCATGAGGGCATCTCTGCCACCCTTCCCTGACTCCTGGCACCACACCGTTTCCCAATGACCTGACCGGCACACAGAAGAAGTCTACCTGGACTCGTCTCGATTGGATTCATAATTTATTGTTAATAAATGTGCCAAGACAAATCATGATACTCAGTGACTCCTGAGCCCCCTTCATTCCGGCTGCCAGCCGCCCACTGGGCACACCTCAAAATTTCACGGTGCCCCTTTCTCTACTTGAACTTCCTCTTGCGTCCTCTGCCCCACGCCTGGTCCGGCTGCTCGCTGTCGGCAATTTCATAGACGGTGATGCGCAGTTTGTCCGCGCTCCACTTCTTCAGATTCGGGGGGTCCCTCTCCTTCCCTGCCTTGCCCCCCAGGGTGCCCTGCCTGTTGCGCACCTCACTCAGGAAATGCTCCAGTTCCTGCTCCATGCAGGCCAGCTGGTGGGAATACGCCTGGAGGGTGGGGTTGGTGCCTGGAGGTTTGGATCCGAACTCGGACTGGGCAGGGACGAGGACCTGAGATTGGTAGCCGCACGATTGGTCCCCGTCTTCTTCTGGACAGGACGTCTGGACCTCCTGCAGCAAAGAAGAAGAATGAGGGGAGATCTGTTTTAATTAATTAGTAAAAAACCAGTTGTAATTTCTCAAATAATAATAATAATAATAATAATAATAATAATAATAATAATAATAATTTTATTTCTATACCGCCCTTCTCCCGAAGGACTCAGGGCGGTGTACAGCCTATTTAAAAACACAAACAAAACAACAATATAAAATTTAAAATAATTAAATAAGTGGCTCATGACCGCACATGCTTTCTTCATTAATTAACCACTCATCATTACATCATTCATCAATGACCAATTGGAGTTACTTCATTAATGACCACTCATAATATCTTCATTAATTAATGACCAGTTGGAGTTTGTTTATTAATTAACAACCATTCCTATTTTTTATTAACTAATGACCAGTTGTAGGCACAGAAGAAGGCACAGAAGAAGCTGTACTTCCTGAGAATGCTCAGGAAAGATAAATCTGTCTCAGCATCTACTTCTGTCCTACTATTGCAGCACCATTGAGAGTGTCCTGACATACGGCATTCTTGCATGGAATGGGAGCAGCTCTGCAGCAGACAAAAAAGCTCTACAGAGAATCATTAAAACTGCCCAGAATATCATTGGGCTCCAGCTACAAGCCTTGGACGACATCTTCGAATCTCGCTGTTTGAGAAAGTTGCATAACATTCTCAGAGACTCTTCCCATCCTGCTCACAATCTTTTTGGACTGTTGCCTTCTGGCAGAAGATACAGAACAATGAAAACTCAGACAACGCGTCTTCTGAATAGTTTTTATCCCAGAGCTATAATTGCACTCAACCATGAATGGGCCATCATCAGTGAGCTGTTGGAGAGCATGACTTGGTCTGTTGTGTGGATGTTTGGGTGGTTGAGGGGTGGGGAATTTGTGGTGGGTGGGGGGGTGTTTGGGGATTGTTATGTGTGTTACACCCTGGTCTTTGGGTGTTAAGTGAATTTTGTTGTATGGGTATACTGTGTATACACGTACAATGACAATAAAGTTATTATTATTATTATTATTATTATTATTATTATTATTATTATTATTATTTTATTTAAGACAGTATACATAGCAAATGAGATGACCATTGACACTTATGATTATGTGTGATTATGATTATGATTATGACTATGATTGTTTCTTAATTGATTAATTAATGATCTGACCAGTCATAGTTTTGCCATTAATTTGTGACCACATAATTAGTTCATTAATTAATCAATGTCCAGTTGTAGTTTCTTCATTCATCAATGGCTACTCAATTTCTTAATTAATTAAAGACCAGTTGTTCCTTTATTGATATATATTAATGACCATAGTTTCTTCATTAATTAATTAATGACCAATCATGGATTCTTGGTCAATTAATAAACACTTGTAATTTTTTAAACACATTATTGATCTATCGTATGCTCTTCCTGCTTGCTTTTTTTCCAGAACCGACTACAAACTTCCACAAAAATGTGTTTGCACCACGTGAAGAGACCCTCAAATAAGCCCACCCCTCCCTGAGCTTACAACGAAGCACTTTTACTTATTAATCAATTACATTTTTATGGCACCCGTCCCATTCATGCGGTGACCCTGGGTGGACCACCGTAGAATAAAAAGGTAAAGGAAAAAAACAACCGATGATACAAAGACAGCTAAATGAAGGAGGTTGAAGGGAAGGCCATTTATCTGAGCCTGCTGCATGGAGGAAGCCTCCTTCCCTGACTTGGCTCGGTGGTGAGTTGTGCGAACCATTGATGTCATCTTGCAGAATCATAGAGCTCTAGGGCTGGAAGGGACCTATCGAGCCCTCTGCTCAAGGCAGGAGATTCTATACCCATGATGATGAACCTATGGCACGCGTGCTACAGGTGGCACACGGAGCCATATTTGTGGGCACGCAAGCTATGCCCTAGCTCAGCTCCAGTGCATATGCGTGCACTGGCCAGCTGATTTTCGGGCCTTCTGATCCCACTGGAAGTCGGGAAACAAGCTGTTTCCGGCCTCCGGAGGGCTTCCGGGGGCATGGGGAAGGCTGTTTTCACCCTCCCCAGGCTCCAAGAAAGCCTCTGGAGCCTGGGGAGGACAAAAAACAGGCCTACCTGGCCCACTGTGCCACCGTGTGCCAAAAGTGTGGGAAGCGTGGGGGGAGGGTCGTGTGTGCATGCGCGGGGAAGCAGGGCGCGTAGAATTATGGGTGTGGGCACACACATGCATAACGCCCCCACGCTCCCCATGCTTTTGGCACATGACAGCAAAAAGTTTAGCCATCGCTGTCCTATACCATTGCAGACAAATGGTTGTCCAGAAAAACCTCCAGGTTTGGAGCAATCCAGAACTTCAGAAAGAAAGCTGATCCCTCTCCCTCTCTCCCTCCCTCTCTATCTACCATGTACCATCTTTTTTTCTTTTTCTTTCCTTCTTTCTTTTTCTTTCTTTCTTTTCTTTCTTTCTTGTTCTCTCTTTCTCTATCTACTGATCAATCATCTACCATCTTTCTTTCTTTCTCTCTCTCTCTCTCTCTATTTATATCTATCTATCATCTACCGATCTACTGATCAATCATCCTTCCTTCCTTACTTTTTTCCCTTACTTTCTTTCTTTTTCTTTCTTTTTCTTTCTTTCTTTCCTTCCTTCCTTCCTTCCTTCTTTCTTACTTTTTTCTTTCTTTCTTTTTATCTATCTAGCTACCTATCTATCTATCTATCATCTATTTATCTATCATCTATCTTTCTTATAGAATCATAGAATCATTGGGCTGGAGGGGACCTTGGAGGACTTCTAATCCAGCCCCCTGCTCAAGCAGGAGACCTTATACTATCCTGGTCAAACGGTTGTCCAATCTCTTCTTAAAAACCCACAACTTCTGGGTTCCACTGAGTAATTGCCACTTCCACTGGAAGCCGTTCCACTGAGTAATTGCTCTCACTGTCAAGAAACTTCTCCTTAGTTCTAGGTTGCTTCTCTCCTTGATTAGTTTCCACCCGTTGCTTCTTGCCCTCAGCTCCTCCAGAGAATAGCTCCACCTTGTCTTCTCTGTGGCAGGCAGCCCCTCGAGTACTCTCCGTCCTCCAGCGGTGGGGTCCCCAGAGCCTTACCTCCCAGCGTTTCTCTATTCCCTCGTCCAGCTCCTGTGTGCACTGGTTTCTCCTGAGGCACAAGCAGCGGATGGCGTAGAAGACGAATAGCCAAATGGCGCCGATGCTGCTGAGCAGAGCCAGGGTGGACAGCCAAGGCCCACCACTCTCGACGCTGCTGTGCCGAAATCGCAGCTGCTGCTCACAAGGGCCATTTGTGCCCTGGCTCTCCCCGTTGGAGAAGGGCCCGTCCAGCAATGACCAGGCAATGACCAGGAACCAAGAGTCTCTCCGGACATCCATGGCCACTGCTGGGCTCCCACTGAAACATTCCGGAAGCTCCTGGGTGGGGAAAGGCTCCCATTATGAGTTGGCTGCCCCGACGTTCTCCGTGGGCAACCAAGAGTGAGAGATTCCAAGCCAGTGCCTTTGAATTAAATGGTGAGTTTCAACACCCCCCTTAGCCCCAAGCCAGGATGCTGCCTATCAGGGCATTTTAAAACACTTTAAAAAAAAAAAAGAAATTAAGGATTTCCCAAACTTTCTTGATAGCTGCTTTTCAGGACTCCAAATGCAACCAAGGAGCCGAGCATTGAAAATCAAAGGGGGTGTTGAAACTCACAATTGAATTCCAAGGCCCATCCACCCTGCCTTCTTTTGGCCCACTCTGTTCCCAGCCTTGTTTGGGTCCTCCACTCCGGGTCTCTCTTCCCCCACTTATTTTCCTATTTCTGCAAACCCTGGAGTTCACCTAAGTGACTGTAAAGGAGATGGTGGGAGGATGGTACTTTTAAACGTGCAAGGTTGAATGTCCGTCTCTCCAGGTAGACCAGGAACACGAGCGGATGACCTCATTGTAAGGCTACATGAATTGGAGTTTTAGAAGTTTAAAAGTACAAAGCTCCCGCTGCCCCCTTTATACTGGGATAACTCTGTGTATCTAATGTTTTATGATGAATATATTTTACAATGACTGTGTTAATGATATCACAATTGCTGTGTGTACATTGAGAGCTTGCGCACCAGAAACGAATCCCTTGTGTGTCCATTAAAGAATTCTATTCTGTTCTATTCTATTCCATTCCATTCCATTCCATTCCATTCTTCTCTTCTCTTCTTTATTCTTCTCTTCTCTTCTCTTCTTCCCTTCCCTCTTTTCTTCTCTATTCTATTCTATTCCATTCCATTCCATTCTTCTCTTTATTCTTCTCTTCTCTTCTTCTCTTCTTTCCCTTCCCTCCTCTTCCCCTTCCCTCCTCTTCCCTCCTTTTCTCTTCTCTTCTTCTGTTCCCTTCCGTTCCCTCCTCTTCCTCTTCCTCGTCTCTTCTCTTTCCTATTCTATTCTATTCCATTCCATTCTTCTCTTCATTCTTTTCTTTTTGTTTCTTCTCTTGTCTTCTCTTCTTCCCTTCCCTTCTCTTCTTTCCACTCTTCTCTTCTCTTCTCTTCCCTATTCTATTTAATTCGATTTGATTCTACTCTACTCTACTCTATCCCATTCCATTCCATTCTTCTCTTCTCTTTATTCTTTTCTTTTCTTCTCTTCTTCCCTTCCCTTCTTTCCACTCTTCTCTTCTCTTTTCTTCTCTTCTCTTCTCTTCTCTTCTCTATTCTATTCTATTGTACTCTACTCCATTCCATTCCATTCTTTTCTTCCTTCTTCCCTTCCCTTCTTTCCACTCTTCTCTTCTCTTCTCTTCTCTCCTCTTCTCTATTCTATTCTATTCTATTCTATTCTATTCTATTCTACTCTACTCCATTCCATTCTTCTCTTCTCTTTATTCTTCTCTTCTCTCTTTTCCACTTCTCTTCCTCCGTTCCCTTCCTTCCTCTTTTCCTTCCCTTCCCTTCCCTATTCTACTCTATTCTATTCTATTCTATTCTATTCTATTCTATTCTATTCTATTCTATTCTATTCTATTCTATTCTATTCTATTCTCAGAGATGGTCACTTCTGAGCCTCTTTCTCCTCCCATTATGCAGCTCTCGGCTGAGCTGTCCCATCTGTGGGAAACAGAGCCTATTGTCTTTACAAGAACTGTAAGAAGGCATGCTAGCCTGTGAAGAAAATACATTGCATATATTTCTAATCTCGTGAGCTAGGCTGAGACTTGAGAATTGTATGTAGGAAGATACATACTGTTTCTGCTAGGCTAGAAACAGGCCTTAACCAGAATTTGCTGACATGATAGTTACTCTAGAGACAACAACCCCTAGGAACTAGAACCATAAAAGCTGATTTGTAAATAAGGGCAGGGGTCAGAGGTGGGTTTCAGCAGGTTCTGAGCAGTTCTGGAGAACCGGTAGCGGAAATTTTGAGTAGTTTGGAGAACCGGTAGTAAAAATTCTGACTGGCAACGCCCCCATCTATTCTCTGCCTCCCGAGTCCCAGCTGATCGGGAGGAAAAGGGGATTTTGCAGTATCCTTCCCCTGGAGTGGGGTGGGAATGGAGATTTTACAGTATCCTTCCCCTGCCACACCCACCAAGCCACAACCGGTAGTAATAGTTTTGAAACCCACCATTGGCAGGGGTGGATAGAATTAGAGTAATGGGAGATGTAATGGGGGGGGAGATAATGTATTCACTTTAGACACTTTGGATAAGTTGTGACAACATCAGTACTAAGCCAATGAGGAAAAGGTGGGAGGCAAATTTGTAAGGGCCGCAGGGGATATAAGGAAAACATATTGATGAGTTAAGGTGTGTCCACTGTACCTGCCTCTGCGTGGGGCACCCTCTTTGCAAAGTAGTAAATAAGATTACCATTGTTTTCTCTTGGATGTTTTGGCTGGTGATGGTTTATTTCAAAACTAGACAACGAATCCTACATAAATGACTGTTTTCTAGGCAGCGACTCTTCCTCCTTATTTCCCAGAATTCCCCAGCCAGCATGCTTTGAGATATGTGGATTTCAACTCCCAGAATTCCTCAGTAAGCATCTTTTAAGATGGTTGGACTTCAACTCCCAGAATTCCTCGGCCAGCATGCTTTGAGATATGCTTTGAGATACTTCAACCAGGGGTGAAATGCTCTCAGTTCAGTCCGGTTCACCCAAACCGGTAGTAAAAAATGTAAAAAAAAAAGTTCCGATGATCAACTGAGCGATGCGCAGTTCTCCAGAACTGGTAGTTAAAAATGCTTTAAAAAATAAAAAAAAAAAGTTCCGAAGATCGCATGTTGCTCAGCTAATCGTCGTAACTTTTTTTTTTTTTTTTACTTTCTAGGCATTTTTTTACTACCTGTTCTCCGGACCGGGTAGTAAAAATGCTTTTTAAAAGTAAAAAAAAGAGGCTCCAACGATCACAGCTGTGCCACGCGATCGTCAGAGCCTTTTTTTTTTAACCTTTTAAAAGCATTTTATTACAAGCTATTCGGGCAAATAGGTTGTAAAACAATGCTTTTAAAAGTAAAAAAAAGGCTCTGAAGATCGCGTGCCACAGCTGATCACGCCCCCCCCCCCGCGCGAATTTTTACCTACCCCATGCCTCCTTTTGGCGTGCACTGTGGGCACTGCACATGTACATGCTCAGTGCACAAGCGCAGTCAGCAAACTGGTAGTAAACCGGTTCAGATTTCACTACTGACTTCAACTCCCAGAATTCCCCAGTCAGCATGCTTTGAGATAGTTTGACTTCATCGGGGTGAAATGCTCCCGGTTCGGACCGGATCGCATGATCCGGTAGCGATGGAAGCGGATGGTTCAGAGAACCGGTAGCAAAAATCCTTGCCCCACCCCTCCATTGTCCAGCTGAGCCGCACAATCATTAGAGGCTCTTTTGGGATCATCAGAGGGTTTTAAAAGCATTTTTTTTACATTCAGCCGAAGAGGTTGTAGAAAAAATGGTTTTAAAAGTAAAAAAAAAAAAAGTTGGCCACGCCCACTCAGTCATATTACCCCCACCACCACCAAGCCACACCCACAGAACTAGTAGTAACAAATTTTACATTTCACCACTGGACTTCATCTCCCAGAATTCCTAGCCAGCATGCTTTGAGATATGTGGATTTTAACTCCCAGAATTCCCCAGTCAGCATGCTTTGAGATGGTGGGACTTCAACTCCCAGAATTCCCCAGTCAGCATGCTTTAAGATGGGTGGACTTCATCTCCCAGAATTCCTCAGCCAGAGTGGCTCGCTGGGGAATTCTGGGAGTTGAAGTCCACTTATCTTAAAGTTGCCAGGTTGAGGAACACTCTGCTGGAGTCTGGATTGCTAATGGTAAAACTTCGAAAGAAGAAGGTCAGCTAGGCAAGCAAAATTGGGGGACAGTTTCTCTCCTCAGAGAGGGACCTTGGATGGTCATCCGGGGGGCAAGGCGGTAATGAGACCCCAGTGGTTAACATGAGGAGGTCTGACTCAGATCAGGGGTCCAAATTTGCTGTTTGAGCAAATTTTATGTTGTGTTTCTGTTTTAAAATTTTGCTCAGGTGCCTGGAGGGCTTTTTCCATCAGGAAAGTAAGGATACCTCTTAGGTCACTTTGAGCTGGTGGGGGGGGGGACATGAAGCCCCCAGGGTCTCCAGCAATCGTGGCACCTGCTCTCCCCCCCCCCCGCCGTCTTCCTGGGGTGCTGCCCTTTGAATTCTCCCAGCACTTATCAAATATTTGCAGCAGGCTAATCATTAACCAGCTGCCCTTTATGAGCGAACGGCCCCGCTGGGTGGAGCTGATCTGACTTTGCCCGTTTCCTGGATGGGTGGGGGGCTCTCTCTACCCAGCAGCGGCCACCGAAGTGCAGCACCAGACTGGGGGCCCTTGGAGAAGGTAAGGTGCAACCTTGGGTGACTGAACCATTGCCCCTTCCTTCCTTCCTTCTCCCCTTCTCTCCTTCCTTCCTCCTTCACTCCTTCCTTTCTTTCCTCCCTCCTTCCCTTTGTATTTCTCCTTCCTTCCTTCCTTCCTTCTCCCCTTCTTCCCTTGTCGCCTTCCTCCTTCACTCCTTTCTTCCCTCCCTCCCTCCCTTTGTATTTCTCTTTCCTTCCTTCCTTCTTTCCTTCTTTCCTCCCTCCCTCCTCGCCTCTTTCCTTCCTTCTATCCTTCTTTCCTTCCTTATT